CCACCAAGTCCCAATTCATTGCTTCAAGTCATTGCCACCAAGTCCTGTGTCATTAACACTAAGTTTCGAGACATTGCCATCAAGTCTAGCTTACGCATTTAATGCCCTGGAGCTTTTATTGTGAACTTATCAACGCATTTATTGTTGCCATTTTCAAAGAATTGCGATTTCCCAATTCTCTAATCTTGTTAGTCAGAGAGAAAACTCTTTAAGCAGCTGCATAGGAATGAGGTAATGCCAAATGACTAAGCACAAACTGTGATAATAGAAAGAGACGTTAATCTCCATATTTGTCTTCTGATATTAGAAACCAGTATGTTTAGGGTTTTGTGAGCATCAGATGGTTGATCTTGTGCTATCAGCTCCCTCTTTCGTTATTTATTTGTTCATAACAACGCTAGAAAATATCACTACTAGTTGCATAACCAACATCGTTTTTTCCTTCAGGAACACTTACTGGATCCAGTGTGGAATGCCACAGTTTAGAATAGTGATGCAAAATTTCTAAAACCTAACAAATCATTGGTAATAAGTAAAGTAAAGGACCCTTTCCACGTCATTAGGCGTATAGGGCATATAGGGCTAGACCTACATTTTTATAGACCAATCGGCACAAGGTGGGTGATGTGGTCAGCATCATGTCCAATCATTGGACATGGTACCAAAAGTACAGTTTTGCTCGGCAAGGGTCAAACATTACCAAATGTTTATGAAAGTACTAGCTTCGCCAGTCCTTCTCTGATTCGGATTAGGTTTAGGTTTAGAGGACGGAACAACATCATAGCACAAGAGTAGTAACCCATAAGGGCTGCGTTCTGCTTCTGACTCAAGCCTGGGTCCAAAGAATCTCAGCACAGTGCACTAACTTCGTAGCACCGGCGAAGATTCTAAAATACTTTCTGCAGATTTTCAACTCCAAATTTTGCTCGAACAGCGCTGTTAGGCTACTCTTTTTCTATTTCTAACTGTCAACGGATCTTTTTCGTGCGCAACAATACACACGGACGTCCGATCTTACTACCCAGAGACCAGGGAAAAAATACTAGAAGTCCACGTGAACAAATCCCAGCCTTCACAGGGGCTTAAACCCGGGACCTCCAGCACTTGACGCGAACGCCATACCTCGAGACCACGCAGCTCCCTGGTTCAGCGTGGTGCCTGACTCGGTCATAAACATCTGTCACAAAAGTCACTTCATTCCAAAACGTTTCTACACCACAAATACACTTAACGGGAGTGCACCACCAAAGTTGACCTTCATTCGCCAATGGATTTTTTATAGGTTTCACCCTTTAACTAATTTAAAAAAAAAAAAAAACGTACAACGACAGCTGCTTTATACACTTACATACATGTAAGTACTTGGGTGACATACATGTCAAACTTAGTAGCGGCCATCTTCAAACTTTCTTTACGACGTCACCTTATTTGTAGGCACCGTGATGTCACGTGCTCAACACCCCTGACATCCTTAACAAGAATTTTGACGGGTTTAAAAAAAAGGCTCTGGCATTTTTACTGTAATTTTGTCTACACTTTTAAAGTTGTCAAGTATGTGTGTGTGTGTGAGTGAGTTGTGTGTGTATGTGTGAGTGTGTGTGTGTGTGTTAGGTTTACGCAAATCTCCTCCAAAGAAAGTAGGTCACTTTTCATTCACAAGTTTGTTGGGCTGGTCGACTTTCCTAAAGGTTACAGGTGTGTCCCTGTCTTTTGTTTGCTTTCTGTGGTGTCTTGCATTTACGTTTTCATTCACAGAAAGATAATGCCTGTGGTAAAAATTGCAGGACTCTAGAGAAGTTGTGTTAGGACCAGCTGCTCCATGTTTTTGGAGTGCTGAAAGCGCTGGCGTGCTGAAAAATACAACTCGCAAAATCAACGGTACCACGGAACACCCCTGTAACTTTGTAGCAAGGTGACATGTTCAGGAACTACCAGTCAGAAGGGGCGTAGTGTGTATATGGGCGTGGCGTGGGGAGATAAGCGTTACTTTTACCATATATATATACATATGTATTTGAAAAGGTCAATGAATGGGAGACGATGGAGAGATAATATCCAGACAGACCTGCAAACACTTGGTGTCACAAACTGGAAAGAGAAGGCCAACCAGAGAGATGAAGGGAGGTGGGTGATTTCTGCAGCAATGAACCTCAAGGGCTCGGAATGCTGAAGAAGACAAAGAATACATTAAATTCTAATTATAACTTTGGGAGTTGAACAGAACATTTTAATGTAAAAATTAGCATAGATCTGGAAGATATTCAATACTACGGGGAAAAGATAGGCGGACTTTTATTCAGGCTGCAACCTGTTCTGTTAGCGTATCGTCTTTTCGTTGGCTACCGAGGAAGGAGACGGAACACGTGTGGGAATGTCCCGAGTGCAGGGATGTCAATTGTTGATTCATTCATTCGGTTAATCATGTCTCTCGAAGAGGAAAGCGGAGTGGTAAGAAGGAGTAGAAGTAATAAGAAGGATAAGTTAAGTAAGAAGAAAAAGGAATGCGATCAAGAGGATGAGGATGAATAAGATTAAAGAGGATGGTCTCTAAGAAGAAAGGTGGTTGGATAGGGGAGTAAAACACAAAAATAATATGAAGGGGGACGGTGTAAGTAGAGACCAAGGGAGAAATGGGAATAATAAAGAATGAGAATGATGTGAACGAGAAGGTCGAAGGCGGAGAAGGATAAGACCAACAATGGGAGAAGTTGACAAAAATTGTATCCAAGATCTGCGTGCATATTGTCGATGTCCCATTATAGAATGGCTGCAGCTTGCATGCAGTATCACAGTGTGACACGTCTGTAGTCCTTGGCAGGCTCTTTGATGTGCCACTCAACTCCTACAGGTTTGTTAAGCATGGGAACACTGAGATGGCCGCTGCATCAGAGGATGGTGCACGGGTGGGTCACACCGTTGTGATGGGATGTCGATACGGTCAACAAGCAACGACTAGGGCTTATAAATGGGAACGTGGGGGAAAAAAAGGGGTGGGGGGGGGGGTCGTAGGAAGGCGCATAACTAGTTTTCTTAACAAACTTAGGTCCGCAGGATGAGAACTGTCTCGATCATTACAAACCCCAACCCTCCCACCAGGTCATTCTCCTCTCCAAAGAAGAGGACATTCTATTAGCTCCGGCTACCAGTTCTTTATGTCGTGACATACTTGAAATTATGAGGTATAAAACTGGGGGTATAAGGGTACGGATCGACGTTATTACACTGGGTTTAATTCCGTATCACTTGGTCTCTTTTCACAATTTGGTGGCTGCCTCGCAGAGAGCGTCACACAAAGCACGAATTATTAAGTCACTCCAGCTACAACCCATGTGGAACACCCCCCCCCCCCCCCAATACATCCGGGAACCGAACGACGGAGTCTAAAATCGAACCCGTAGCTTTCAGAGCGACAGGCGAACAGCTTAGCCTACCTACCAAGACTTCTCAAAGCACAACCAGGCAGTTATAAGTTAGTATTATTACTACAGTGTTACCTCGGAATTCGAACGCATCAAAACGCCAGCAACTTGGGTTGAGTTGAGTTAAGAATTGACATCACAGCACTCGAGGCATTCCCATACGCGCTCCATACCCATCCTCAGGAGCCAGCGCAGAGTTCCAAAACTAATGGTGCCAGTCGTAGTCTGGTTGGAAGCTGAATGATATTTTCAAGTTAATTTTGCCTCGGAGCTCAAACGTCGCCCTGGAAACCGAACGCCGGACACACCGATAACACGACTGAGCTGACAACAAAAGAGCTTCGATACCCGCACCAGCAGCATAAGGAAGAAATTGCAGGCAAAATATCTTCCAGAGAGGAAGCTGGGGAAGCTGGAGGGATTAGTGCTACTGAAATCCAAGATCTTTTGTCCATGTGCTCGGAAACACAAGAAGTCGTTGAGAGGTGGCACCCTCATAGAGTCATAGTTAACAGGTGTGTTGACTTATTAAATTATAACATTATCGAACATTTCAGACACAGTGTGTCACACACACATACACACACAAAATGGTCACCAACACCAAAGCACTCTGGAACGTTGGCTGACAAGAAAACTTGTGACCCCAAACTTTCTACAGGTGGTGAACGACTTCGGTATGAAACACCAAAAAGGATTCAGGATGTTATTATGGAAGCTGACTTATCTTCTATTAAATAATCTCCCTAAAACCAAATGACTCCTTCTACTTCTATTTCATCACTTCAATCAAGATTCAGTAAATTCAATTTTTCTATATTTGTTTTTTATTTGAATGTTGAATCAAGAAATAATATCATAGCATTAGGGGCACTTCAATTAGCGCCCCGTCCCAATCTTCAGCAGCAACAGCAGAGTTCTAATTACGTTGGTTGTCAGATTGTATCTCCTTATAATCTCTCTTTCTTGAGCGTTAGCCAGATCCCTAGTCACTCCTCGCAGCATCATTGCTATTTTCTAGGCTTGTATTCAGATATGATCGATCATCATTTGTTACTAATAGTAATTAAAAAGTAAAAAAGAGTAAAGATCCCTTTTCAAGCCCTAGGCGCATCGGGTATATGGGAAGAGCGTCCCATATTTTCACAGAGCAATCGGCACTGGATGGATAATGTGGTCAGAATTACGTCGGCCGCCTTTACTTCCCCATGACAGCCATCCTGGTACCCATTCTAACTGGGTCGACCTGCGACACTAACTAATAGTAATAGTCATACTGTACTATATTACATTAAACTCTTTGTGAGAAAATACATTTTGAAATTTTGAGTTTTTCGAACCTTGAAATAAATTAATTTAGTTTTACATTGTTTTCAATGGGAAATTTTGCCTCAGAACTCGAATGATTTGGAATTCAAACACTGACTTGGAATGGATTATGTTCGAAACCCACGGTACCACTGTATTTGTATTTAAGTAAAGGGAAATAACTCTGACTAATTTAGCAGTTCAGATACCAATGTCCTGAGGTAGTTTTGTGCACTCGTGTTGGAAATAACCACTGCTACTGCTAGTTGTACAATGGCTTTCTCCTGGGCTTTTAAAGTATCTCATCAAATTCGCATCTTAATGTGCACACATACTGGTTATGTTGCAAAGAGAGCAAGCTCGTATTTTCCAGTCAATGACTCGCTTTACAACCTCACCCAGGAACAGAAACAGGTTGTTGTTTGTTTTGTTTCATTACTTACAATATCATCAACATGTCAATATCACTTACAATATTCAATATTATAGTTAAAACTTTAAAAACTTACTTCAACAAACTGTAACGTGAATTAGAAGTATCATTATAATATATATATATATATATATATATATATATATATATATATATATATATATATATATATGGGCTCTCTTCCGAATAACGGTCCCAAATGAACTATGCAGACAGTTAACCCAAACAGAGCCTCATTACGTCCTGCCCTACAAACATTTCAAAGCTGTAACTCGGGAAATATAAGGAACGAACAGTATGAGAACAATGGGGGAATTCGGCTCTACTGGCAAATCCGGACGAAGAATTAAAAAGCCTTGGACAACTTAGTCAGAGTTCTCTCCCGTCGCCGCACTCCAAACAGTGATCGGAAAAGCCACAACGAAACAAAGAAGACAGTCACGTCGACATCAGGACTGCCAATGCTTGGTTGTTTCCCCCAGATCTGGGTTTTTTTTCGACGCTGCAGAACAATTCTGGGTGTTTTTTTTTTTGGGGTGTGTTTTGTTTGTTGGTGTTTGCCGATTTGTATGCTTTAATGATCGATAAATTTGCGTGGTTAGGGGGGTAGGGGTTAGGGTTAGGGAGTAGGATTAGGATTAGGGTTAGCGGTAGGGTTAGGATTAGCGTTACAGACTACACAACCATTCACAATGCCCCACGCAACCGTACGCAACTGTGCACGCAACCATATGATGATGCCATGATGTCTCACGCAACCGTACGCAGCCCTACACGCAACCGCAGGATGATAGGTAAGTGTGTCGTTTGTTTCGTTTGTTTTCCGATTACTGTTCGGAGTGCGGCGACGGGAGATAACTCTGACTAAGTCGTCCAAGTCTGTTTATTCTTCGTCCGGATTTGCCAGTAGAGCCGAATTCTACTACTTACCGATATTCAAATCCTCTATGCGTGAAAATTGTGAAGAAGTTGCCGCCATTCCAACTGACCACGGCTTGTCCGTGAGTCTGGTTCCCGGGCGAGACATGATCAGCTGTAATGTGCAGTTTAATGTACGCGCATGTCGCCTAAGGACAACTTCAAACCAGCAGCCGCCAGGATGGCGCTGGTACTTCCGACAGAAGAAGTAGCTCCTGTAAACTGTTGATTTGTTTCCGGCGACTATAGTGCGACCTCCGAGTTTATCCCCCGCGCCGCGCGTAGCGGCGCGAAAGGGGCTAAACTAGATGGCTAGGACTCACGAGCAAATACATTGGAGGAAGCTGCAGGAGCTTCGGTAGCTGCTGCTCGTGAGTCCTAGCCATCTAATTTAGTCCCATCCGCGTAGCGGCGCGGGGATACTCTCGGAGGTGGCACTATAGTTGGCGATTAGCGGTCCGCAACTTACATATAACTCGGGCCCTGCCGTAGGATAGCGCTATCGGGAATATTCTCGCGTCGGTAATTTTTTTCGGCCGCAGTTAATCCTAGTTTTGCCGCCATGTAATCGCCGTAAAAAATCTGTTGCGTTTCACGAAAATGTCAGCAGTTAATGCTAATTTTGACAAGGTTGAATCGCCGCAAAAGAAATGCAAATTTTACATATGAGTGAGGCTCTGTTTGGGTTAACTGTCCGCGTTGCCAGGCTCTGTTTGGGTTAACTGTCTGCGTAGTTCATTTGGGACCTTTATTCAGAAGAGAGCCTATATATGTATATCGAATAAACTAAAACAAAATAAATCAGTCTCAATCTTGTTATTGGATATTAGCGCTTACTTAAAAAAAAAAAGGCTCTCCTCCGAACTTCTACCCCCCCACAAAAAAATCCACACTTTTTCTCATTCACATCGTCTTCATCTTTTTGCCACTTAGCCCGCTCCAATAGATTATAGAGAGCATAGGCTCTCAACCGAATTGCATGATTTAAGTTGTCATATATGGGAACCCATAGTTAGGGCTATTCAGTTAAATTTACAGTAAATTTACTCAGGGACCAACATTTTAAAAATAGATCATCGTCAAGAGCAAGAGACCCAAGCCATCATTAATTATTAGTAATAATACATTATAATTGGCAATGATTCGCAGGCCACTTGCTAGGCCTCTGTGTGCCATATTTGGCCCGCAGGCCATAGTTGAATAGCCCTGCCCTAGATTAAAACCTCAGACATGTCTTTTGTCACTGGTCAACTTTTTAGTTGCTTTTGCTGCTAGGAACTTGCCAGTTTTGTATTTAGGATCACATGATTAATCTTATTCTGTTGTGAAGACACAGTTAACCTTAGATTTCTGTTTGTGAGATGTAACAGAAGTGAATGTGATTTCTTTATTTCAGTTGAAAAGATTCATGTTCTGTCTATCAGATGTTGACGTAAACTCTGTAGTAATGCACCCTATAAAATGCAGGAAAATTAAATAAAATGTGCAGTAAGATGTTTTTGCCCTTATTTAAATTGTTAACTATGACTATAGGCAGTAGTGACAGCTCAAAGAAACCCTTATTTTCTATTTTTAATTTGCAGCTTCGTGAGACTGTGTTCCAGTTTGCCCAGAAGGAACTCGCTCCAAAAGCTGCTGAAATAGACAAGACCAATGAGTTTAAAGATATGCGAGTGAGTGTTTAGAATGTTTTTAACACACACAGATTTCTTTAATAATTTCTCAATAAATATGTAACAAAAGGTCAGAAATTGGGGGGGGGGGGGGGGGGGGGATCAGCTGACAGCTGCAGAGGACCTGCACTTTCATAAAAATAGCATATACTGAGATATACTGTCAAGAGTAGACAGCTCGCATCTGCAGGATTAACAACAGTGATACAGCCACAAACCAGAGGGTAACCTGCTCACTAGGTGAGGCAGTTAGATGATTATCTCATCCACTGATACTGAGGAAAACTTTGAAGTTAAATAGAATCAGAAAACTGCAATCTCCAGCAGTCTGTATCAGCTATTTGTGTACAGACACATGTTTAAGCTGTTCCAGAAGACTGTCAAGGATCTTCTCTACTGTCTTTCCAGTTGTCACAACATGATCTAGTTTATTCACAGGTGACGGGAAAGTCTAATATTTCAGGGGGTGGTAGGTGGAGTGTATAGTGTAGTAATTTGGCAGTTCATTTGCCTTGCAGTTTTGTGCTGTGTTGTTTTAACTTTTGTGTGTTTCTGTAGTGTGTGCTGTGCAGTTTTTCTGCGGTGCATTCTTTGTGTGTGTTGTGGACTCTATGTGCAAGAGGATGCAGTTTTTGTGGTTTTATATGTGTGTGTGAGGTGTTTTTGATTTGTTTGTATGCAACTATGTGCAATAGGCAGGATGCCTTGCCAACTTGTCTCTGCCGATCACTGCAGGATTCAGTAATAATGTGTTGGTGCAAACCTCCTGTATGTAGTTGCTCCACTCCATAGTTGTATTCTTTGACATACCCAGCTCTACTTGGCAAAATTGAATACTTGTCAACTCGTGAGATCAGTAGTACAGATCCCCTTGTGGGTTTCGGGGCCCTTCTATGGAAAAAACAAGAATAGACCCACTGCCTACCTAAAAGCATGTCGTAAGAGTCGACTAATTTGGAGCTTCCTTCGAGAGGCAAGGAACCAACAGACTGCATACAGATCTGTCAAACGGATGCACATGCAACACTCAGGCTCTGGAACAAAACTGCAGTCCATAAGTGGACAAACAACCAGAACTTTCCACCGGAGTTTACAGCCGGCGAACGAGAAGAAGAAGAAGAAGTACAGAAACAGAATGATCTGTCTGTAAGGCAGGCCCTTCCAGCCATGTTCCTTGCCTTAGCGGTATGTCCAGACGACAGGTGGACTTTTGAAACCGCCATTGGTCGTGGCTTTCGGTCAGCGATAACACCATTGCATCGTTGTTGCCATAATGTCCTATACTATGCAGAATGCCATGATGTTGCAGGAAGCTGTTCTTGTCAGGCACCAATGCTGCTAATTCAAGGAAATTCATAACAATAAGACAAAACAAACCGCTGGAGAGATGTGGCCGGAAGAAAAACGCAGCAACACATAGAAAGCCGGGAAACTCAACACAGACAGCAAAAAACCCGGTCTTACTCTCTAAAATATTGGACTGCCCCATGACAACATCTGTGGTAGGATATTGGGAAAGAACCAACTTTTCTCTCATTGTCTTCTATTATCTTTCCAGTTGTCACATGTTTTAGTTATTATTTTTTTTAAACTTGTCTTTTATGCTCGTCCTCTATCTTTCCATTTGTAACAACATGTTCTAGTTTTGTACTTGTGATAATACTTTGAAAAATAGATTATTGCCTTTCAAAGATGTTTGTGACAAGCTGTAAGTTTTTTTTTAGCCTCTTACAAAATATTGAGGCTTTACCCCCCCCCCCCCCTCCCAAAGTTAGTTGCGTATCCTTTACATGTCGTTGCAGAACCAGCCCCAGCATTTTTTGGCTTCTGTGGTTTTTCTTGGTATATTTTACGTTCAGTAGTTTGCCATTGCTTTCTGAACAGCCAGCTGTCGGTACCACTATCGAAACCAACGCAAGACAAATCATCCTCAGCTGGGATCGAACCTGTCATCCCAGCATTACAGAGCACGTTCACAACACCTAAGCCACAGACAAATGCATAAACATATTTGATAGAAGGTACACTGATTCTGCAATCAGCTGCAAAGTTGTTAAAAATATTATTTGCTATCTTCAAGCAATTCTGGCAGCAGTGTGGGCAGTTGGGTCTCCATGGAGCAACAGCACCAAGTAAGCATTCTCTTCATACATACACAAACATGCTTGCACATTGTCATTAGGGACCAGTTTCACTCTATATTTTTCTGACCCTAAACGGCTGACGTAATCCATTGTTGTACATAGTTTTGTCCCTGATGTTGAAAAAAATAATAGAAATCTTTTTTTTTTTTTAAATGCTTTTAAACAGTGGAAGCGTTTGACATATTAAACATGGTTGCTGTAGCCCTTCAGATGCCCTGTACCAGAGCTCTTTTTGGAAAGAACTGATTGAATGTCATCTGACCACATCTGATCATTATCTCAGTTCCAAATGTCAGCATCTCTTTGTCAGTGAGTTCAAGGCACATGTAAAAAAAAAGCACTAGTAGCAGTCCGTTAAAACAGAGTGCAAGCAAGATGTCTCTGTGATACAGTCAGTAGAAAATAATAAATATTTGTTTTTTTATTACTTGTAGAGTTAGGCTGACATTGTAAAAGAGTTTACTAACATAGTCTGTGACAAGGCAGTTTGAAAGTGGAGATTTTGTCTTTATGAGCATGCATGGTTGGGACAGGGTCAAGGGATTAAAGGCATTTAGTATCATTGATAAAACATAGAACTTTTAATCTATGGTTTGACACTCGGTGAAACAGCCATTTAAAGGTTGCCCAAAAAAGGTTGGAATTAAATTGTAGCACCAGTAAAAAACTCTATGGAAGCAGTGTCATCCATACTGTCTGTCAGCTGAGAGAAAGACTAAGCATGTATATATGTGTCCATAGTACAGTTAAGTCCATTCTTAGAAATAATAACAGTATTAGTAATAGTCTATGTCAACCCCAGTTAACTTTTTCAGGACCCAATTTTTTTCTGGGGTTTGGACAGCATCAATTTGGAGCGGATTTGTTTTTAACTGCAACACGACAAAGCTAAAACCTTCCTGAAGATAAAGTATTGGTTGTATAGGGATATATAATATATCAAATTAAAGACAATTGAGTGTAGAATAAATGTAAAATATTTAAATGCTAGTATTACAAAAAAAATATTTAAAAAATCACACATTTACGGATGTTAGACACATGAAGATTAATGACAAAAATTTGTTTTTGCTTACCTTACTCTTTTACTTGTTCTGCAACACGCTAACCAAGTCTAAGAATACACATGCCTTCTCTGTTTAATTATGTATCAGCTAGTCTTTATTTGAAACAATTAATTTAAATACTTTGGATGATATGATCATTTTTGTATGACATGTCACAACTGATAATCAGGAAAACAGCTGATCGAAACATTGATTCGATTGAAATATTTTGTTTAATTTTCATATCCTAAACTAAATTATGGCCAATAGGTTTGTAACTTAGATATCAATCATAATATCAAGACTGTTGTCACCATCTGGCAGAAATTTAACAACAGAGCAATATGAACAGTTCTAGACCTTTTTCCTTATTGTTTAGTATTTAAAAAAAATGTAAAAATGGTATCCCATAAAAAAATGTAAAAATTGTATCCCATCTAAATAATTTTTGAAAAATCAGAAAATAATGCACCGACCACGATGAACTTCGCAAACGAAATAATTTCCTGTTGTTAATCCTAATTGTTCAAAACCTTGTTCATAAAAGTTTGTTTTCCCCACAAACGGAACATAATTAGAGTGTCTCTATCATACGCCAATATACTGGCGATACGTCTTTAAAGAGTTGAGCAAGTATTTTTTTTAGCTTCCTAAAAATTTACCTAGTCATAAAATTGTTACAGTGTGATCAGTTTCTATGGGAAGGTGGCGTTAAATGAAACCGACCAGGTCACTCTGCCTCATAACGTGTGATTTATTACTTCCTCACAAAATTTAAAATCGATGAATCAGCCATGTGCACATGTGGATTGGCACCTGAGACAACAGATCATGTCCTCCAAGACTGTCCCAAATACAACATATCAAAGCAAAACCTTTAGCCAAGAGAAACATCAGTGCAAGTCAAACTTTACGGATCGCTGAGTAAAATGAAAAAGGCAGTGAAATTCATACTAGAGACAACATTGAAGATATAGGTAATTTATTTCGAGCGAACTAAAGAAGAACTTCCTCACCACGGGATAACTTTAATGATTTGGGTTTTTAAAAAATGTTTTAAAAATAATTTTTATATTGTTGCTTACTTTGTTTTAAGCCTATAATTGTTTCCTATTTCCAAATACGTTTTTAAGGCAAGTATGGTGGCTCGGAGATGGGGTACCTTGAACAGTGTATTATCATGGAGGAGCTGTCACGAGCAAGTGCCTCTGTTGCCTTGAGTTATGGTGCCCATTCAAATCTTTGCCTTAACCAGATTGTCAGGAATGGAACAGATGCACAGAAGGAGAAATACTTACCAGAGGTGTTTACTTTTAGTTTCTGTTACTATTACTTAGATGCCTAGTTGAGAAATAGGAGGCCTGTGTTAATGTTAAAAATCCTTCAGCAGCTGATGATAGTCTTACTATTACTTAGATGCCTAGTTGCGAAATAAGAGGCCTGTGTCAAGGTTAAAAATCCTTCAGCAGCTGATGATAGTCTTGATAACTTCTACCATGGAAAACCTTTTTAACTTACAATGATAAAGTGCTGGGGAAACTTTAGTGGCTCATGTGCTTACTACCAACATAGATTTTCAAATGTTAAGGGGTCTTAATATTCATAACTGTTTCTAGGGCAGCAACAATCCATGGTAAAATTGTCTAAAAGAAACATAATTTATAGAAGCCTCTTGATGTAAAGATGTATGTGTTGCATTTGATCTGGTGTTTGAATTTATTCATATATCATTTAGTCCTTTGTCTTTTTAGAAGAATTTATGCTGTTTATTGCTGAATGGCACAGAAACTTTGGTGAAAGAATGTTTTTTATGCAACTATTTAGAAAAAATTGTTTGATGCAGCTTATATTCGTTTTGGGAACACATAGCTTGTCCTGTGAAGGGTAATTTTTGAGCTATTGTAAATTTTAGCTGTGATAAATTGTTTAATTCAGCTGATACATTTGGATCCTCAGGTCAGAGTTTGGCCATGATAAAACCAGTTTATTTGAACTTTTAAACAACCTTTTACCACCATGGAAGAGCCTAGTGCAGCGGTTCTCAATCTGCCAGATGCAACTCTTTTTTTTGGGTCAAACGACCCTTTCACAGGGGTCGCCTAAGACCATAGTAAAACACATATTCATTTAAGTTATGAAGGAAAATAATTTTTGGGAGTCGGCACAAATATGACTAAACTGTATCAAAGAGTCGCAGCATTAGGAAGGTTGAGAGCCACTGGCCTAGTAGAATTGGATGATGTGCATTAACTTCATCTGCTCTCTTTCGAGGTTACCATTCTTCACATCCACTGAGAAGTAGCAGTTCAGTTTTTTCTTCTTTTAACAAAGCCATATTTAATCTATGGAGTAAAAAACAAATATACTTAATGAGATTGCTATATGTTCACACTTTAGGGACACTGGATTTTTTAGCTAAAGATTTATTATTTTTGTGCTTGGTCATTGAACACATTTAATTTATTTTAAAATAAAATAAATTCATTTCAATCTTCTCTCCTTAGCTGATATCTGGAGAGAAAGTAGGAGCTTTGGCTATGAGCGAGGCAAATGCTGGCTCTGATGTTGTATCTATGAAGCTTTCAGCAACAAAGGAAGGTTTGTTTTTAGTGCATCATACTGTGAATCTGTTTATATGTTATACTTTGAAACCTTTTGTCATATTGTGAATCTGTTTATATGTTATACTTTGAAACCTTATGTCATACTGTGAATCTGTTTGCATGACATATAGGAATTCTGTTTCTGTGCTATACTGTGAATCTGTTTGTGTGACATATTGTGAACATGTTTATATGTTATACTTTGAAACCTTATGTCATACTGTGAATCTGTTTGCATGACATACAGGAATTCTGTTTATGTGCTATACTGTGAATCTGTTTGTGTGACATCCTGTAAATATGTTTATATGTTATACTTTGAAACCTTATGTCATACTGTGAATCTGTTTGCATGACATATAGGAAATATGTTTCAATGCTATACTGTAAATCTGTTTGTGTGACATACTGTGAATATGTTTATATGTTATACTTTGAAACCTTATGTCATACTGTGAATCTGTTTGCATGACATATAAAGGAATTCTGTAAGTGCTATGTTATACTTTGAAACCTTATGTCATACTGTGAATCTGTTTGCATGACATATAGGAATTCTGTTTATGTGCTATACTGTAAATCTGTTTGTGTGACATACTGTGAATATGTTTATATGTTATACTTTGAAACCTTATGTCATACTGTGAATCTGTTTGCATGACATATAGGAAATATGTTTCTATGCTATACTGTAAATCTGTTTGTGTGACATACTGTGAATATGTTTATATGTTATACTTTGAAACCTTATGTCATACTGTGAATCTGTTTGCATGACATATAGGAAATATGTTTCTGTGCTATACTGTGAATCTGTTTGTGTGACATACTGTGAATCTGTTTCTGTGCTATACTGTGAACCTGTTTGTGTGACATACTTTGAACATGTGTGTGTGTTTGATACACTCTGAATCTAAATAATGCAGACACAAACAATACATTGCACTTGCCAGGCACATTTCGCTGTATCTCGCCAGGTGTGTTACTACAGAGTTACATCGACATAAAATGAAGAACACCAAAAAACGGAATAAATCCAACTGAAATGTGAATAGTTTCTTTCGACACGTGTTTTGGCCACCGGAGGTTCACACTCTGAATCTGTTTATGCGCTATACTGTGCACCTGTTTGTGTGAGATACTGTGAGCCTGTTTGTGCCACATACTGTGACACTCTTTGTGTGACATACTATGAACCTGTATGTCATACTGTGAATCTATTTATATATCTTACTGTGAATCTGTTTATATGATATACTGTGAATCTGTACATGTGACATACTGTCAGCCTGTTTGTGTATCTTACTGTGAATCTATATCAGTCTTTTTATACGACATAATGGGAATCTCTGTGACAAGCTGTCAGTCTGTCTGTGTGAAATAATATGAATCTAATTGTCTTCTTCTTCTGCCTTCATCCGAAGATGTAATTGCATTGAGCCTGTTAACAGCATAACTGCAATATTTGCACTTTCGGCAGACACCTCTGACTTTTGCAGGCATTTGTTGACCTTTGTTTTCTTGGTCACTGGTGGTGCCCCACATGAGGCCACTTCAGAGACACCACATAATACTGGTCAGCCCTCAAGAGGAGGCAGGGGCAGACCATGAGCATTTCCCGCCATCCATGGAGGGTCCCTTAAATGCGGAGCCAAAACATGGTGCTCTGGTTCTGGGCTCAACTAAGGTATCGTCCTGCCCTGCTCATGACTGTTTAACCCCATTTCCATATATTGAGCATCTCATTCATCATGGGCTGTCTTTAGAAGCCAACAGTAGGCAGCCTGTAGACCTGGGACTTCAATTACCTATACAAATGAGTACTTTGCTTCTTTTGCATGTTAGACTTTTACTGCAGTTGACTTTGTGTCCACTATAGTTCCATATTCCATTTACCACATAGATGCCTAGGAGCATCCAGTTTTGTAGTATACAGACACATGGGTCTGTTTCATTTTCTTCCTATGTCATGGGTAATTAATTCTGCATCGCGAGGAACTGCAGCTGAGTTTTCTTCTTAAACCTTCAGACGTCAGTGTGAAAATCTATTGTCTGACATATAATATTACATATTCTATCTTACTGCTCACTGTACAAGAGAAACATTTGTTATATAATGTATGGTTAGATCCAAAGCACTCAAAAACTGTACCACTTTACATTCTATCATTAGGATAACAAGGATGACTCATATACTGTGCCTGTTTACATTTCTTCCTGATCCACATGGTACAAGCATTGTTTAACATGTTATGTCTATGATACATGTCATAATTATAACTGATTCACAGCGCATGTTGAGAAAGGTGGAGTCAGGCATGCTCCACCAAGAGGGGCAGGCATCACTTTAGGAGTCACCCCCCCCCCCTTCCCCCACCCCAACAGTTAGGTCTCAGAACCCACATGGGGAAGAGGAGAATCATTTAAAGGCTAATCAAGCTTTTCTTTTTCAAGCTCAGTGATTTCCTTGGTGGTCACTCATTTAGCTCTTAGCTCAGTGATTTCCTTGGTAGTCACTCATTTAGCTCTTAGCTCAGTGATTTCCTTGGTGGTCACTCATTTAGCTCTTAGCTCAGTGATTTCCTTGGTGGTCACTCATTTAGCTCTTAGCTCAGTGATTTCCTTGGTGGTCACTCATTTAGCTCTTAGCTCAGTGATTTCCTTGGTGGTCACTCATTTAGCTCTTTAATTTCTGTGTACACAGTTATGACTTGGATATTACAGCAACTCAAACATGCGATGACTGTATTAGCTCTTCCTGTCTGATATATCTGGACTGGATCTTTTGGAGCATTGACTGAGAATCATGTCTGTCTTGTAGGGTGGTATCTCGCAAACAACCTTCTTCTTCTGCCTTTCTATCCCCCAATAGAGCATAGGCCCTCAACCAACTCACGCCAAGTCGTTCTATCCTTCGCCATTGCATGGAGCTCTCCCCATGTCCTCCCAATCTTTCTAACCTCGTTCTCCAGCTCTCTTCTCTATGTGTTTTTTGGCCTTCCTTTATTCCTATGCCCCTGTGGGTTCCAATGCAAAGACATTCTAGTTATGCTGTTCTCCTGTTTTCTCAGTGTGTGCCCTATCCAACGCCAGGGTCTTTTCCTCACTTCCTGATCCACTGGAGCCTGTTTAGTTCTCTCCCAAAGTTCTACATTAGTTATTCTATCATACCATTTTATTCCCTCTATTCTGCGCAGGCACCAGTTAATAAATGTCTGTAATTTATTAGTAATTGCCTTGGTTGTTCTCCATGTTTCCGCCCCATACAATAGTACTGATTTGACATTAGAATTAAAAATTTGTAGTTTAGTATTTCTTTTAATTTCTTTTGATCTCCACAAATTCCCTAGTGCTATGAAAGCCCCTCTTGCCTTTTGTATTCTTATTTTAATATCTCTATCAGTTCCTCCATCTTTATCTACATTACTGCCTAAATAGGTGTACGACTCCACGTCTTGGAGTGGGGTGCCATTAAGAGAAACCACATTACTATTTGCCTGATTCATTCTCATTATCTTTGTCTTTCCTTTATGGATTTTCAGACCAAGCTGCTGTGATCTTGCATTAAGTATATTTAATTTATCTTGCATCTGATTCCGTGAATGGGACAGAAGAGCAATATTATCAGCGAAGTCCAGATCATCAAGCTGTTTTGTAGGGGTCCACTGAATTCCATTCTTGGTGTTAGCAGTTACTGTTTTCATAGTCCAAACAACCTCACAGCTGTAATAACCACCTTCATCGTTGGGTTCCAGGGCTCCATTTTGGGAGAGAAAAAAGATTAGACCCACTGCCCCTCTAACAAGCATGTCATAGAAGATGAATAATCAGAGGTGTTTCCTTCAAAGTGGGAGTGCATCTGCCTGAAAGTTAAAGAACCAACAGTCTGCATACAGATAAATCTGTAAAATGGATATGCATGCAAGACTCAAGTTCTGGAACAAGACTCAAGTCCCTGAAGTGGACGAACAACTAGACCTTTCTGTTGAAGCTTGCAGCCAGTGAATGCAAAGAAAAAGAATAACACATCTACTTGATGTTGTAAATCAGTGCTTTGTGTTCAGCTGTAAAATATTTCTGTGTACATTACTCAGGAAGCAGTTTTCTCTGTTAACTGTCTGCTGTTATGATTCTCTGTTGTGTAGGTGACTACTATGTTTTAAATGGAACCAAATTCTGGATCACAAATGCGCCAGATGCAGACGTGCTCGTTGTTTATGCCAAGAGTGACACAAGCAGCACCAAACCTCAGCATGGAATCACTGCTTTTATTGTTGAAAAGGTCAGCTTTAGATTTGTTGAAATCTTCTAGCTTTAGATTTATTGAAGTCTTCAGCACTGTAACTGAATCCTGTCATAGTAGAATCTCATTTTATCTTTTCGTTTCTCCTCAGCTGTAAATGTCATTTGTTTTTAAAAATGTTCTGGGACCCAGTTTGGTTCTGTGTACAGGACAAACAGCAACCTGATGAGTGTAATTTATGGGACATTGGTAAATGCATCTTCAGTATCAGTGGCCATTTCCAGTACTTGTCCCCAGAAACTGTATCTCTCTCTAGGTTTAAACGTCTACGATAGAGGCCAGTAGAACATTTGATCATTATTATTAGCTTTTGTTTAAATAACTCGTTAATATCAAATGAGGCAGATCTAAAAACTAAAAATTTAATGTAATTTTTTATCAGGCAGGTCATGCCCTGCTTGCTTTTAACCCTTTTGCTCGCAGAAAAACCACAACTGGAAATTCCAGTAAGTGCCCTGAACCCACAAATGTTGCTTAATTGGCACGCGCTGGGATTTTTTCACATGGACTTCTAGTTATTTACCCTGGTATCTGGGTAGTTAGACCGGATGCCCATGTGTATGGCTGCGCATGTAGAAATCCCTTGGCAGTTGGACATCAAAAAGAGTAGGCTAACTGCTCTGCCTGGGCAAAATTTGAAGTTAAAAATCTACCCAAAGTATTTCAGGATCTTTGCCGGTGCAACAGAGTTCGTGCACTGCTCTGATATTCTTCAGAGGCTTCAGTAAGATTAAGAACGAAGCACTTATGGGTTACACCTGTGTGCCATGATGTTGATCTGTTGAATAAACATAAACATATGAAAATCCTTGCTAAGAGCATGGATTCTGTTTGCACATGCCGTTGGCTTTAGTCACTAAAAATGGCATTTGTAGTTGTTTTCTTTTGATAAACGCTTTATTTATAGAAATCACAATGTAGTGTTAGTTAGTCACAGTGGTCTCCAGCAGCCAGGTCACAGAGTCAACAATGAGTCACAGTGTTAAATTTATTTAACCTCAGAAAGATGAAACCTAACTGATTCTCTGCTGCATTCATTTTTCCTGTTTACTCCATTTCATCAGTCTGCATACTTTTTGTTTGTGTTTGACATTGGAAGTGTTAGAATTTTTTTGGGTGTGAACTGGGTAAAATTTTTGTTTTTAAATGAACACATGGGGGGGGGGGGGGGGGGGGGGGGGGGGGGGGGGGGGGGGGGGGCAAATTTAAAAAAAATTATGCCTTCTTGGCATTGTTTTAATTTCTAGGTAATTGGGGTGCAAGGGTTAAAAGAAGCACCTGGGCAGCACCTTGATGTCCCTCTCATGGCTACCTAAGGATATGGAAAGTGTCATTTGTTTGGTCTCATGTTGTGAAGAGAGTCAGGAAGATGGAGGGTTCTTAGAAACAGAGGGAGTAAATGCTGGTAGAGTGGGTGGTATGGAAGAAGATTATCAAGTGAATTTATCCTAAACACAGAATACACAGTTGTGGGGCAACATGATTTATGATGCTGTGCATGGCATGTGGTGATAATTGAATATGTCCGTTCGCATCTGCTGCACTATGTTTGTGTACCTGTTTTATAAAACGTAACTAAAGATGCTGTTACAGTCCTACAATTTCATATTTAGAAATGGTGTCTTGAATACAAACAAATGTTTTCTTATACTTTAGGGGATGCCAGGATTCTCAGCAGGTCCAAAACTGGATAAACTTGGTATGCGAGGATCAAATACTGGAGAGCTTATATTTGAAAACTGCAAAGTGCCAGGTAATTACTTTCACTCATAAAGGAGAAATGTTAAAGCCAGTTCTTGAAACTGCACAGTTCATGACAAAGGCAAAGTCTGTGACTTGTTTTGGGGCAGTTGTGACTAAATTGTTTGTTAACAATTTTATGTTATCACAATCGATGTCACTGCTCATTGAGCATTCTCGTGCATGTTCAGTCCTCAGATACAGCAACCACTCCAGTTTACTTCTACTAATTGTTCCCATGAGAGGTTGGTTATAATGTCTCAGCTTGAAGGCGTGTTCAGTCCTCAGATACAACAACCACTCCTGGGTACTTCTACTAAATGTTCCCATGAGAGGTTGGTTATAATTATAATGTCTCAGCTTAAGGGCGTGTTCAGTCCTCAGATACAACAACCACTCCAATTTACTTCTACTAATTGTTCCCATGAGAGGTTGGTTATAATGTCTCAGCTTGAAGGCGTGTTCAGTCCTCAGATACAACAACCACTCCTGGGTACTTCAACTAAATGTTCCCATGAGAGGTTGGTTATAATGTCTCAGCTTGAAGGCGTGTTCAGTCCTCAGATACAACAACCACTCCTGGGTACTTCAACTAAATGTTCCCATGAGAGGTTGGTTATAATGTCTCAGCTTGAAGGCGTGTTCAGTCCTCAGATACAACAACCACTCCAGGGTACTTCTACTCATTGTTCCCATGAGAAATTGGTTTTAATGTCTCAGCTTAAAGGTGTGTTCAGTCCTCAGATACAACAACCACTCCAGGGTATTTCTACTAATTGTTCCCATAAGAAGGTTGGTTATATTGTCTCGGCCTCGAAGCCAGCATAGGCTTGCTTCACCATGCTTTACCCCCATGTCATGCAATCATGTAAGTGTCAGAGATTTGTCATTATCCATTATTATGATGTTTGCCCTTTCTATGCTTTTTCCCACATGCGTTGGTGCACTGCTTGCCAGTTGGTCTACTCGCTTATTCCTTTTTACGCCCCTATGACCGGGTGCGTAGATCCAGGTAACGGAGGTTAAGTGCGATTTCCAAATTCTTTCTACCCATTCAGACCACATACTGCCTGTTGCTATCTTCTGAAGCTTGTTCATGGAGTCTGATTCAATTAATGCATGTTGGCTGTTTGCTCTGCTGCCGATGCTTGTGCTCTCTTATATTATTGTCCCCATCCTTTGTGCTGTGTATGCCCATGCAGACCTTGATCCGCACTTTATGGGTCTATCTGTGTAGATGATGATGTCTTCTGGGTGTGAATACTGATCTATCCTTGCCTTTACCTCTGTGTCTATGGCCGCAGGAGTCTGATCTCTGCAGTACCTTGTTAAAAGTGTTTAATATATTTAAAATTAACAATATTGATTCACATTACTATTGCAGTTCACAAAGTCAAAGCGAGTAACCACTTTCTGTTTTTTTTTTTAGTGACAAATATTTTGGGTGATGTTGGCAAAGGAGTATATGTACTGTTCAGTGGATTGGACATTGAAAGATGCATTCTATCTGCAGGACCTATTGGGTGTGTACACATTCTTGCTTGTTAGTTATATTGTTACAGTTGACATCACTGCACATTGGGCATTCCCATGCATGCTCAATCCTCCAGCCATCCTAAGGTATCTCTATTGACTTCTATATAAAGTTAGATATAATATCTCCTATCTTGACCGCGAAGATGGCATAGACAGCTTGACCAGCTTTCACTTGCAGGTGATACAGCTGAGTTAGCTCAGAGATGCATGACTGTCCATCGGTCTAAGCCCTGCAATCTTGGTATTTTACTCTGTCCGCTTGTATTAGTGCCTAACTTACTACTTGGTCACTTTGGTTTTTTTTTTTATCTCATTGGTGAGCTCATTCATTAACTCTTAAACTAGCATGGCAAGGTGTGTAGACATAGATGAGGATTGGTAGTATGACTTTCAAATTTTGTCTACCCATTCAAACTGGGGTCTATTTGTTGAAAATTCTCTGAAACATTTTCATGGAACTGATAAAATTATCCCATATGACTGCTTTGTTTTTGATTAGTCTTTTGAGTTGGGTTCTGTGTTTATGGAACAGCATTTGACTTCAATGAGAGCTCTTTGCCGATGACCAGTACCTATTCCACATTTAAAGTGAACAGCTGTGGGACCACACAGACCAATACCTGACAGCTGCATTCAAATTTCATATTAAAATTAATACCCCAAAAAAACATCAACCCAGAAGTCATGAAAATAGGTAGAGAACACAGGCAGATGAAAAGGTCAACATTTTCAATAAGCTCAAGAATGTCAATACTTGGAGAGCATCTTCACACACAGTGGTAGACAGTACAGAGAGTCAGAAGCCAGAATTCAACATGCCAACAGTATTACTTATCAATTACCCCAATCTTGCAATGCCTGGCTATCCCAGCAGAGATAGAAAGGCATATTAATAATCAAGTTTTTCTTCCAGCTTTAGGTTATCAGTGTCAGACCCAGACATTAACCAAACAACACTAGAGAAAACTAACTGCCTGTGAAATGAGAAAGGCTGAAAACAAAACCACAGGAGATTGTGTGATTAATGAAGTGATTAGAAGAACTGCTGGAATAAATCAATCATTAAATTCTTTGAGAAACAAAGACTAAAGAAATTCTGCCAGCTGTTGAGAATGAATCCAGCAATACCAGCAGCAAGAGTGTGCATAATGAAAATGGCTACACCAAGTGTCATAGGAAGACCTAGAAGAAGACAGCCTTAACAAGCAGACCGAGAAACACAGCAGACCAAGAAACACAGCAGACTAGTAAACACAGCAGACCAAGAAGCACAGCAGACTAGTAAACACAGCTGACCAAGAAACACAGCAGACCGAGAAACACAGCAGACTAGTAAACACAGCAGACCAAGAAACACAGCAGACTAGTAAACACAGCTGACCAAGAAACACAGCAGACTAGTAAACACAGCTGACCAAGAAACACAACAGACCTAAAAACACAACAGACCAAGAAACACAACAGACTAGTAAACACAGCTGACCAAGAAACACAACAGACTAGTAAACACAGCTGACCAAGAAACACAACAGACTAGTAAACACAGCTGACCAAGAAACACAACAGACTAGTAAACACAGCAGACCTAGAAACACAACAGACTAGTAAATACAGCAGACCAAGAAACACAGCATACTAGTAAACACAGCAGACCAAGAAACACAGCATACTAGTAAACACAGCAGACCAAGAAACACAGCAGACCAAGAAACACAGCAGACTAGTAAACTCAACAGACCAAGAAACACAGCAGACTAGTAAACACAGCTGACCAAGAAACACAGCAGATTAGTAACCACAGCTGACCAAGAAACACAACAGACTAGTAAACACAGCAGACCTAGAAACACAACAGACTAGTAAACACAGCAGACCTAGAAACACAACAGACTAGTAAACACAGCAGACCTAGAAACACAACAGACTAGTAAACACAGCTGACCAAGAAACACAGCAGACTAGTAAACACAGCAGACCAAGAAAAACAGCAGACCTAAAAACACAGCAGACCTAGAAACACAGCAGACTAGTAAACACAGCAGACCAAGAAACACAGCAGACTAGTTAACACAGCAGACCAAGAAACACAACAGACTAGTTAACACAGCAGACTAGTTTACACGGCAGACCAAGAAACACAGCAAACTAGTAAACACAGCAGACCAAGAAACACAACAGATTAGTAAACACAGCAGACCAAGAAACACAGCAGACCAAGAAACACAGCAAACTAGTAAACACAACAGACCAAGAAACACGGCAGACTAGTAAACACAGCAGACTAGTGAACACAAAAGACTAGTTAACACAGCAGACCAAGAAACACAGCAGACTAGTAAACACAACAGACCAAGAAACACAGCAAACTAGTAAACATAACAGACCAATAAACAGGGTTCGTAGTGGACCGGGAAATCGGGAAATTACCGGGATTTTTTTCGTTGACCTTGAACCGTGATTTTTAGCTTATAAAAGACATTCCGACCTTGAAAAGCCGTGAGTGAATTTTGACCGCGGCAATGAAATGGTCAGAAATCCTGTGTTTTTCAGCACAGGAAATTTTGGGGGAGCCTTTTGGGCTTTTTTGGCCATTTGGCTGGTTTCTGGCTACTTTCGTTGTATAGAGTCCGTTTCAGGTGTGAGGGCACGCTGATTTATTGGCTATTTTCAGCTGAAATGGCTTGTTAACAAGGCCATGTGGAGGAGGGCGGGCTGTTTGCAGATCATGAATACACGCAGACAGCAGCGGTGTGGCATGGGGCGGGAAGTAGCAGATTCCGTTCCTCCGCGCAGTGTGTGTGTGTGCCTTTGTTTCTAGCAAGTCCGGCAGAATGAACAGTATAAAAATCGTTTATGGGCCGTGGTTTCTAGAAAAGGATAACATTGGGAGATGGTGGGGCTCGGTTTTCAGTTGTATTTTTATAAATAGAGTCACCGTGGGTGCTGTGGTGGGGACCAAGCACGGCCCTCTCTATTAATTAGAGACGGCATTGGGGCTAAGCAAAGTGACTGCAGCTGGATTTCCCCGTTCTATTTTTGGCCTGATTTATCTTACAGTGTGTTTGTCGATCAGTATTGTAATTCCCCGAGATTCCCTCTTCTATTGTCTCACCCCTCTCTCTCTCTCTTTCCCTCCCTCTTTCACTCTTCTACTACTATTGCTCCTTCCTTCCCGTCTCCTGCATTGTCTCTAACCCTCCCTTCTGATCTTCATCTTCTTCTCTTTCTCTCTATCTTTCCTTTTACTCTCTCATTTCCTGTCCTCCCCTCCCCCTTTTTCCTATTTTATTTCTTGTTTAAAATGTTTTAGTAAATGTGCGGCTCCATAACTCTTTCTTAGCAACTCCAGTACACAGGAAGTTTATATTGGGGGGGGGGGGGGGGCATTCTGTGGGAACATTGGTGGATATTTTCTTTTGATGTGTTTGTTTTCCCTAGCGGCCTTAATCTCTGTCCATCTCCCTTTTCCGCCCCCTCACTCTCTGTTCCTCACTCTCTCTGCCTGTCTGTGTCACTGCTTTCCTCTCTCTCTTTCTCTTTGTATTTGCCACTCTCCCTCACTCTCCCCCCCCCCCCCTCTCTCCTCTCTCTTTCTTTTCTCCATACCTTCAGTTGGGTGTAGAAGGTTATGTGTTGCCTAGTGCAAAAAAAAACATTTCATGTCCACCATTCCCCCCCCCCTCCCACACATTAAATATATGTGTACTTTAAAAACACATTTGCCGTCACCACCCCCCCCCCCCCCTTTTTTTTTTTTCCTCCCCCACATTGATGACACCTAGGGGAGGGAGTGCACCCCCTTCCTGCTACCTTCTTCCCTCTATATCTCATCTTATTTCTTACTCCCCTTTTTTCTCTCCCTGTCTCATTCCCACTTTATTTTCTTAAACTTTTATTCTCTCACCCTCCTCTGTCTCACCCTTACCACCTCAGCCTTCTACACCACTTTCCACCACCTCCCTCCCCTCCCCCCTCCTTTCTGTAATTGGAAAACCAGAAATAAAACGAAGTCCACTGCTGCCCTGACCTATTTATGTGTCTGACCTATTTATGTGTGTGGGTAAACTTCTCTAACTTTCTACTTCTTTCTATGAGTGCCGTTCACAATACTTTCTGTTACTTGATTAATTCTCTATTTTCCACCAGTGGTGGGTTGGGATCCCCTGGACTTTTTTCTTCTTTATAAAATGACCTTGGCTCTCAGGTCACCAGCCTTAAGTGTAAGAAATTGAATTATTGTTGTCACACACAGATAGGGCTTGCAAGGGGCAGTAGGGGTTAGCACTGTTGTTTTTGGACCACAGCCACATTCACATTGGGAGAGGGTAGGAACCGGAAAAGTGGCCTCACTTAGAGGTATTTTGGCACTCATTGTTCTTACACCGACCCCCCCCCCCCCCCACAAAGTGGCCTCACTTAGAGAGATTTCCTAATTCTCTTTTTTGGCAAACTCCTTGTTCTTTCTCTCTGTACATCTCCGTCTCCTTCCCCACCCCCCCTAGATTTCCCCCATCCCCCCACCCCCCCCCGTTCATCTACGTATTTTTTTGCCCCATAACTAACTTTCCTTAGTGGTTGTGTCCACTACACTTGAAATTGTGGGGTGGGGGGGGGGGTAGGTGCTTGGGGGTAGGTGGCTGTTTTTTTTCTTTGATGTATCTCTTTCTTCCTGCCCCTCCCCTTCTCTTTTCTCTCCGCTCTTGATCTTGCCTACTCACTTCCTCTTTGTATCCTCCCATTCTCTCTGCATTTTTTCTCTTTCTTCTCTCCCTCTTCTGCTTTCCTCTGTGCCCCTTTGTCTCCTCTCTCCCCATCTCTCTCTTTGTCTTCTCACCCTGTCCGTTCTCCTCTCCCTGTCTCCCTTCTTTCCTCTTTTCATATTTTCCTCCTCCATAGTTTTTCCTTTTCCTTCTCTTTCTCTGTCCCCATCTCTGTATCTGCATTCCCTCTTTCTGTATTTTCTCCCTCTCTGTCTTCTAGCTGTACCCCCCCCCTCATCCCATCCCTCCCTCTCATTTTTTTTTTTACTGTTTCGTCTTTTTCTCTACCTTACTGTCCATCTTTTACACTTTTTTTGCCCCCATAACTCATGACTCCTCATCTCTTCCCTACCCTCTGGTTGTCCAGTTCCAGGACTTCACACTTGCCCTAAAAAAAAAAAATTTCAAAAATATATCAAGCCCAGGGTGACCAACACGAAGATGGGCACAGGGTGGGGGGACGGGAGGGTGGTGAGAGGTTTTTTTTTTTTTCAAAGGAAATGCTACATTGATGATATCTGTTTTACCAACACATCTCCCTGAAGTACCTTCCTGCCCCTCTCTCTTGAATCAAGGCAAAAATGTTGTTTGTACACCGAGACAACCTGCCTTCCTTGAAACCCACCTGAAAAGCTCTTGAAATTGATTGGTAAATTTGGCTTGAACCCTGAATAAACAACAGCAGACTACAGTCTGTAAACTTGCCTCCCATGAAACACATCACTTCACTCTTTGTAAACACTCCCTCCCATTAAACACAGCTCCTGCTCTGCACTTTGAAAGACAGCTTTCTTTGAAAAACAGCAGACCTAGAAACACAGCTGTCCAAGAAACACACAGCCTCTTTAACACAGCAGACCAGTCAGCAGACCAAGAAAAACAGCTCTAGAAACACTCCTAGTTAACACATGACTAGTAAACACAGCAGACTAGTAGACACAGCAGACTAGTAAACACAGCAGACTAGTAAACACAGCAGACTAGTCAGCCAGACTAGTTAACACAACTCAAGAAACAAGAACACACAGCAGACTAGTGAAAACAACTCCCAGAAGACCTTTCACAGCCAGACCATGAAAGCACATATTTTCAAGAAACTCAGCTTCCAGAAAACAGCAGACGAAAAAAACAGCAGTTTAAACACAGAAGACCAAGAACACAGCAGACTATTTTGTTTTTTCAGAAAAAACAGCAAGCGAGAAAGACTTTAACACATCTGACCAAGAAACACATCTAGTAAACACACTGAAGAAACACAGCTAGTAAACACAGAAGATCAAGAAACAACAGTAGACTAGTGGAAAACACAGCTCCCAAGAAGCACAGCAGTCCTAGTAAACACGCTGTAAAACACCCACTTCCCAGCAGACCAAGAAACACAGGCATACTTTAAAACAACACAGCAGACCAAGAAATTCAGCAGACCAAGAAAAACAGCAGACCTAGAAACACAGCAGACTAGTTAACACAGCAGACTAGTAAACACAGCAGACTAGTAAACACAGCAGACTAGTAAACACAGCAGACTAGTAAACACAGCAGACTAGTTAACACAACAGACCAAGAAACACAGCAGACTAGTTAACACAGCAGACCATGAAACACAGCAGACCATGAAACACACCAAACCAAGAAACTCAGCAGACCAAGAAAAACAGTAGACCTAGAAACACAGCAGACTAGTTAACACAGCAGACCAAGAAACACAGCAGACTAGTAAACACAGCAGACCAAGAAACACAGCAGACCAAGAAACACAGCAGACTAGTAAACACAGAAGACCAAGAAACACAGCAGACTAGTAAACACAGCAGACCAAGAAGCACAGCAGACTAGTAAACACAGCTGACCAAGAAACACAGCAGACTAGTAAACACAGCTGACCAAGAAACACAACAGACCTAAAAACACAACAGACCAAGAAACACAACAGACTAGTAAACACAGCTGACCAAGAAACACAACAGACTAGTAAACACAGCTGACCAAGAAACACAACAGACTAGTAAACGCAGCTGACCAAGAAACACAACAGACTAGTAAACACAGCAGACCTAGAAACACAACAGACTAGTAAACACAGCAGACCAAGAAACACAGCATACTAGTAAACACAGCAGACCAAGAAACACAGCAGACCAAGAAACACAGCAGACTAGTAAACTCAACAGACCAAGAAACACAGCAGACTAGTAAACACAGCTGACCAAGAAACACAGCAGACTAGTAAACACAGCTGACCAAGAAACACAACAGACTAGTAAACACAGCAGACCTAGAAACACAACAGACTAGTAAACACAGCAGACCTAGAAACACAACAGACTAGTAAACACAGCAGACCTAGAAACACAACAGACTAGTAAACACAGCTGACCAAGAAACACAGCAGACTAGTAAACACAGCAGACCAAGAAAAACAGCAGACCTAAAAACACAGCAGACCAAGAAACACAGCAGACTAGTTAACACAGCAGACTAGTAAACACAGCAGACCAAGAAACACAGCAGACTAGTTAACACAGCAGACCAAGAAACACAACAGACTAGTTAACACAGCAGACTAGTTTACACGGCAGACCAAGAAACACAGCAAACTAGTAAACACAGCAGACCAAGAAACACAACAGACTAGTAAACACAGCAGACCAAGAAACACAGCAGACCTAGAAACATAGCAGACTAGTAAACACAGCAGACCTAGAAACACAACAGACTAGTAAACACAGCTGACCAAGAAACACAGCAGACTAGTAAACACAGCAGACCAAGAAAAACAGCAGACCTAAAAACACAGCAGACCAAGAAACACAGCAGACTAGTTAACACAGCAGACTAGTAAACACAGCAGACCAAGAAACACAGCAGACTAGTTAACACAGCAGACCAAGAAACACAACAGACTAGTTAACACAGCAGACTAGTTTACACGGCAGACCAAGAAACACAGCAAACTAGTAAACACAGCAGACCAAGAAACACAACAGACTAGTAAACACAGCAGACCAAGAAACACAGCAGACCTAGAAACATAGCAGACCAAGAAACACAGCAAACTAGTAAACACAACAGACCAAGAAACACAGCAGACTAGTAAACACAACAGACCAAGAAACACAGCAAACTAGTAAACATAACAGACCAATAAACACAGCAGACTAGTAAACACAACAGACTAGTAAACTCAGCAGACCTAGAAACACAGCAGACCTTGAAACACAGCAGACCATGAAACACAGCAAACTAGTAAACACAGCAGACTAAGAAACACAGCAGACTAGTAAACACAACAGACTAGTAAACACAGCAGACCATGAAACACAGCAGACTATGAAAGACAGCAGACCAAGAAAAACAGCAGACCTAGAAACACAGCAGACCAAGAAACACACAGACTAGTTAACACAGCAGACCAAGAAACTCAGCAGACCAAGAAAAACAGCAGACCTAGAAACACAGCAGACTAGTTAACACAGCAGACTAGTAAACACAGCAGACTAGTTAACACAACAGACCAAGAAACACAGCAGACTAGTTAACACAGCAGACCATGAAACACAGCAGACCATGAAACACAGCAAACCAAGAAACTCAGCAGACCAAGAAAAACAGCAGACCTAGAAACACAGCAGACTAGTTAACACAGCAGACCAAGAAACACAGCAGACTAGTAAACACAGCAGACCAAGAAACACAGCAGACCAAGAAACACAGCAGACTAGTAAACACAGAAGACCAAGAAACACAGCAGACTAGTAAACACAGCAAACTAAGAAACTCAGCAGACCAAGAAAAACAGCAGACCTAGAAACACAGCAGACTAGTTAACACAGCAGACCAAGAAACACAGCAGACTAGTAAACACAGCAGACCAAGAAACACAGCAGACCAAGAAACACAGCAGACTAGTAAACACAGAAGACCAAGAAACACAGCAGACTAGTAAACACAGCAGACTAATAAACACAGCAGACTAGTTAACACAGCAGACTAGTTAACACAGTAGACCAAGAAACCCACTAGGCTAGTAAACACAGCAGACCAAGAAACACAGCAGAACATGAAATTTGTGTGTTTTGCAAATATATATGTCTTATTACATGGAAGCTTTCACCCTAATTTTGTTTTTCTATTGTTTGGTTTAACCATTTTCACAGAATCATGCAAGCATGCTGCGATGTTGCTTTTGATTATGCAAATATCAGGGAGTGTTTTGGCGAAAAGATTGCACAATTCCAGGTACTAATAACCGAATCTATAGTTATGTTTTAATCATTACATAGTGGTTTAATGGAGCCATTGGTGTAAAGTGGATCAATGGGGAATCCTTGAGGCCACTGAAGTAGTATGATAAACAAATTGTATTGTACTTATTAGCACACATAGACAGTAAAGAAGTAGAGACATCATCAGGAGGCATGAGGTTGGATCCCTGATGTGGCAACTATAGGTTTTGATTGTTGTTGTCTAGTGTGTCCTCTTGTCTCTCCTTCTTTCTGTTGCTGCTGTCTCACAATTATGTCAAGTTATTTGTATCTACAGAAGATCAAGATCAGAACCTACCCTTTTAATTGTTTTCTATTGATATTTCTTCCTGCAGTCACCATGTCTTTCTTACCTATACTGGTTAAATGGTGGCAGAATAGTCACCATCCTTGCTGACTAATATAGTGATCTGGAGTTTATGCTCAAGTATTAAATTTGTTGTGATCAGTGCGGCCTTGACATTAAATAACCAAGCTAGCCTCATAAAATAGAGAAGGAAAGGAAAGATAATGAGAAAGTAGACTGCTCGCCCCACTTGATTATGCCAAGATAAGAAAATATAATGAAAGTACATGTTTGAAAACTTAACACTTCATATCCATACAGTCTTACTGATTACAGGATTACCTTTCCCCTTTTTAATAACATGAGAAATATTTTGCCATATTTAGAAATGTTTTTTACCATGACTTGAATACTTTACTGTTAGATTGAAATACTATGTTCACATACTTTGCTAAGATTATTGAATACTCTGCATGATAAGCATAGGTTATGTAGGCAGCTAATGACTTTGACTTTTAGAATATGTAATCTGAAACCATATTGTTGACAAGTTTGGAGAGTTGATCATTGATAAATTTATAGGAAATTACTTATTATTATGTGCTGCATCCCAAAGTTAAATGCAATTTTTATTTGCTTTTGCTTTAAAACCCCACCCTGGCTGTTGCCTGGCGCCCTAATATACCCCAACTGTGGCTTGAACGGGGTTTCTGGGATCTGTTCCTGGATTATTCTCATCCAAATATTGGCACTTTGGGTCACCGGATGTTTATAGCTCCGTGTGATGTCCCAGTGAGGTTGAAGGTCAGTCAGTCAGGAAATTACCATACATAAGTTTAACTGAACAGCAGGTCATCCAGACTGAAAGATGTGGGTTGTGAGATAACTGTGACTGTTATTAATAAAATATTGTCTGTAATGAACACACTTTATACTCATCGTCATTATCCTGTTGAACCATTATATGTCACATAGGGCCTGCTGTCCATCCCTCCATTTTGTTCTATCCTGTGCAATCAGTTGGATATCATGGATGGAATCCAGTCCAGCAGCTTTAGCCTCTCTCATCAGCATTCATCTTAGGGTTTCATTTTGTTGTCCTTGCCTGCTCAGTCCCCTTTTCTCCCATTTTAATGCCTGTTTGATGATTCTCTGCTGGCTTCTTCTCAGGATGTGTCCAAGGTAGTGCCATCTTCTCTGTCTTATAACTGTTGATACTAATGGTTTCCCTGACATTTCTCTTATTTCTTCAAATTTTTTAAATTTTTCCCATTTAATTTTCGTCAGACATTTGTTTTCAAATGCATTTAACTTCTCTTCCATGTCTTTAAGGTTGCACTTTATACTGCATTGTTTTAAAGATGTCTTTATAATATCAATGCTACAAGTTGTTTTCTGTCCTATGTTAGTTAATACAAGGCAAGATGGCTGACATGTATACAGTCCTGAATGCAAGCAGGTCATATGTGTACAATGTTGCACGATCTCTGGACAGAGGGGAGAGACATGCAAATGTGAGTTACCATGTAAAATGCTAACATAGATATGAACAGCAGCTGCACACAGTTGGTTGTAGTCAGGGTTCAATTCTCACTTGCACTAAACTTTAATTTCTTCTTCTATCATCTATCATCTGTACCATGTTCTTGCTGAAAGTAGAACATAGATTAGTGTAACTAGTGATACAAACCACCCTCTTACTAAAGACCTTAAAACATAAAACAAATTGACCCAAGAGAATGGTATAATGAATGCAAAAGGCCAATTTTATATTCTGGAAAGTTATCCAGCCAGAATGTATATTCTCTTGGTATATGTTGAGTTCATAACCATAATCACAGAACTTGGGATGTTCCCTTAGGTGTGCCATCCCCATGGGATGTTCTCTTAGGCATTTCATCCCCATCTTCAGCAGCCAGTGCATTTTCAGTTTATATGGTACCAGTACCATCCTTAAATATGGTTGGATTTCTAGTATTAAGGAAATGGAACACTGCCATCTAAACTGCAAACTAAATTATTGCCATTTGGCAATTTTGTAGATGTGTTAAATTTGTATCCAGGGTGCAGCAAGAGAGTTAACATTCATACAGTTCAGTATCTGCTGAGTGACATTATCTTGCTTCTGTTAATCAATACACCCGACTTGTGGTGTAGTAGTGACATTTGATTTTATCTGAATCTCTGTCCTCACTCCAACCACATCTTGTTTCATCATGCCTGTGGATCTACTTTCAGGATAACAATCCATCTAGAATATAATAAACTGCAGCTGCTAGTAATGCAGAGCAGGAAATGCACACACGTTTAAAGATAACATTTCAGAGGACAGTGGGACTATGTGGGAGACACTGCAGTTGAGCAGAGCTAGGTTATCACTTGTCCTGAGAGCAAGAAATTGCTGTTAATGGTGCACACCCACCCCCTTTTTTCCACAGCAGAAATCAGCACAGTTTTCCCAAGAATATCAGTGAATTTATGAGAATAGCCAACCATGCATTGATATTCTTTTATATTGACTTTAATGTCAGTTTTAACTATTTAGTCAAGATCTTTTTCTTCTTCTTAGTCTGTGCAGTGCATCGATGGTAGTCATGTCCATCTTCAGTCTAGTGTATTTCAGTCAGTTCTGACACAGATGATCTTCCCTGCCATGATGTCAAACTGTCCAGCATATACTCTCTTGGTCTCCCTCTGCCTCTTTCCCCTTTCCAGCTTTTTCACCAAAACAGGGCACTCATTTTCTCTTTCTTATGACATAATGAAAGAATGTAGATTGTTCTCTTCTTGAGTCAGTTTCTATCAAGGTCTTATAATTGGTATATTACCTAATATTTAATTCTTACCTATTTCCTCAGTTTATAAGAAACATACAGTTTTTACAATCTTTTTGTCATTACATAACATTTAAGGTTATTTTACAGTGTTTAATTATGATGCAACACTTTTTATTTTTTTCTTAGTGATAAAATTATACAAGAGGGAGGCAATAAGTAAGTCACAAATGGTTGTTTAAAAAAAAACTGAAGACGATAACAACTTAAAACCGTTAATTTTTACACATACACTGTCACTTAACTTTTCTACATAATATCTACCAACATTGATGCACTTGTTCCATCAGTTTATCCGTCCTCCAAAACCTGCTGAATAAAACTGCGTGCTCTGTTTTCTAAACCACATTTTTACTTCACATTCAGCTTCTGGGTCATTTGTGAAATGTCTCCCACCGTCAAGGTGGGTTTTCAGTGGACCACACAGGTGGAAATCTCTAGGGGCTAAGTCGGGGCTGTAAGATGGATATTCCAGAAGTTCGCAACCTAGATGGTTAACTTTATGCTGAGTTAACCGAGCCATATGTGGTCTGGCATTGTCTTAAAGGAGCTCAGTGCTCTTGTCAGCAGGCTTGGACATTTTCTTTGAATTGCATCATGAAGCATCAATAGAACTTTACAGTATGAACCAGCACTCACATTGTGACTTGTAAAAAAAAAATTTAAAGATTGGCTAAAAAAGCATTCCCTGACACCTTCAGAACACTGTCTGCATAACCTTTCCTGCAGATCGTGTAACCTTGAATTTTTTAACACAAGGTGAAGAAGGATGTTTCCATTGCATTGAAGCACGCCTTGATTCTGGCTGTTAGTGATGCACCCATCATTTGTCCCCAGTAATAATTCTCTTCAGCGTATCGACAGAAATGCTGCAATGGTAGGCCTCTTCGGTTCATTTTGAGTTAGTCCGTCAATAGTCTGGGTACTCACCTTGATCACATTTTTTAAAAATTCAATCGATCATGCATTATGTTGTAAGCTGAATCATGTGAGCAACCCAGTGCAGCTGCTACAGAGTCAACCGTTACTTGCCTGTCACCACTAATAATTTCCTCCACCCGCTGCATGGATATGTCTGTTGCAATCTTAACAGGATGATCAGTTTGGACTTTATCAACAATTTGAGAGCCTCTCTTGAGAATTTTTTTTTTTTTTTACCAAGCTATGCACCGCTTTGCTGGATAAAGATTTGTCACCATAAACAGGAAGCATTTCCTTATGAATGTCCTTTGTTGGCCGCGCACCCCCCACCCCCATCCCCCAAAAATACACAACACGGTGTTGTTCTTTGAGGGAATACCCCGTAAGTATGAGGGTACACTCCGTAAGAATAGACGCCATTTTGTTTCTGTGTTGCAAATGCGCATGCAACACCTAGCGCCACCTAACGAAGGAAGCATAAAGTTTGATATTGCTGTCACCTAATGACACCTTTAGAAACCACCAACTACATTTTCCTGCTATCCTATAACTATTTGTTACTTCCCCTCGTATTTTTTTTTCCAACTCGTTTGTTACCTCCAGTTGCTTCTATTCAAGCTGCTTTACCTTGGACATAGATAATATTAAAGATGAATTAATGTCTGCATTGCATAATATACAATTTATTGTGTCTCAACATCCGGCTATAATTTAAGCTTTCCAAAGGCTGTAGGATAGTACAACGCAACAAATATTTAGAGTAGACTTACTCAGCAGGGTTTGGAAATAGATAAGTGCTTTTTTGTTTTGAATGGTTTGCATAGCTGGATGGGTCAGTAGCACATCTTGGATTTTTTATTTTAAACCAGGACTTGTGAGTGTGCAAAGCAGAAATCAGACTGATATGTTGGCAATGAATTCCAGCGAAATTGGACTAAAAAGCTCAACAAAATGGGAAAGAGGAAAACGTGCACAAAACAACACAACGTAACATTTCGGCTGGGCAGCCTTTTTCAAACATAAGTGAAATACACAAACGAGGAATGGAGAGTGTGTAGATCTCTAAGGGGCGACGTATTTGACTGCAGTCACCCCCATAGTTTCACCATTTTTGATATGTTGGCAGCTGCTTCTTCTGTGGGTGGTGAGCTTATTTGTTTAGGTGTAGATCAAGTGCAGTGAAACAGACTGTTTTCAAGACTGATTCAGTGGTGGAGTGATCAGAGAGACTAAACAACACTTGAAGCATTGGGAAAGGCAAGCTTTTAATGAAGTTGCTATAGGTAGACAGTATGAAAATGTTTTGTTTACCACTCTAGAAAGGGACAGCACTTGTGTGTAAATATCCTGAGTGCAGTAATATAGATTCTAAATGCATTCACTGATTTTTGCGAAATCGTCTTAGCATAGAATGTACAAAGAATAATGTCTTTGTTTCTTTTAATCACAGGATTGTGCTGCCGCAATTCTTTACACAGCAGAAGCAGCAACCAAAATGGCACTGGATGCCATTCAGATATTAGGTACAGAAATATACTTATTATTACTTTATAGGAGATGGAGAGGAGAGAGCATGGTGGTGTTACTGTATTAATATAGAGAGAGCATGGTGATGTTACTGTATTAATATAGAGAGAGCATGGTGATGTTACTGTATTAATATAGAGAGAGCATGGTGATGTTACTGTATTAATATAGAGAGAGCATGGTGATGTTACTGTATTAATATAGAGAGAGCATGGTGATGTTACTGTATTAATATAGAGAGAGCATGGTGATGTTACTGAATTAATATAGAGAGAGCATGTTGGTGTTACTGTATTAATATAGAGAGAGCATGGTGGTGTTACTGTATTAATATAGAGAGAGCATGGTGATGTTACTGTATTAATATAGAGAGAGCATGGTGATGTTAATGTATTAATATAGAGAGAGCATGGTGATGTTACTGTATTAATATAGAGAGAGCTTGGTGATGTTACTGTATTAATATAGAGAGAGCATGGTGATGTTACTGTATTAATATAGAGAGAGCATGGTGATGTTACTGTATTAATATAGAGAGAGCATGATGATGTTAATGTATTAATATAGAGAGAGCATGGTGATGTTACTGTATTGATATAGAGAGAGCATGGTGATGTTACTGTATTGATATAGAGAGAGCATGGTGATGTTACTGTATTAATATAGAGAGAGCATCGTGATGTTACTGTATTAATATAGAGAGAGCATGGTGATGTTACTGGATTAATATAGAGAGAGAGAGCATGGTGGTGTTACTGTATTAATATAGAGAGAGCATGGTGATGTTACTGTATTAATATAGAGAGAGCTTGGTGATGTTACTGTATTAATTTAGAGAGAGCATGGTGATGTTACTGTATTAATATAGAGAGAGCATGGTGATGTTACTGTATTAATATAGAGAGAGCATGGTGATGTTAATGTATTGATATAGAGAGAGCATGGTGATGTTACTGTATTAATATAGAGAGAGCTTGGTGATGTTACTGTATTGATATAGAGAGAGCATGGTGATGTTACTGTATTAATATAGAGAGAGCTTGGTGATGTTACTGTATTAATATAGAGAGAGAGAGCATGGTGGTGTTACTGTATATAGAGTAAGAATAAAATAAAGTGTGTGGCAGCACTGCATTATATTGTGTAGGCTGACAATAATCTTGTCTGGCACAGTCTGACATGTAGTCTATTGGTAGCTTTACATTAAAAATGTGAAGTTTGAGAATACAACAGTAGCTCCACACACAAATGACATCTCAGGACAGAGGGTACACAAGGCAAACACTTGATGTAGCTGTTACAGATTCCCTAATTATAATTTCTTGGGAGGTTGTTCAGGATATCTGTGTCTTGTCTTGTTGGGCTGACATCCAGGATATGGCTCTTCAGATCGCAGCAATTAAAAAGGCAGTTAAGAATAATTCTGAGCGTCCCATTTTTTAACACTGATCTAGTATATGCAAAGGCAGGGCTTCCATGGCAATACCTTTATCTTTATGTTACAATAGATTGCAAAGTAGCATAAGTGTGCCAGGATTTGATCCCTTTAGTGGCTTCATTTGTATTTGCATGGAATAGTGTGACCATGTGTCAGCTCAGCACTGTAATTGGTAACAGGTTTCTGGGAAAAATAATAATGTCTCTTTTATTTCTAACAATTTTATGCTTGACGAGTCATGTGGTCCATGGGCTAACATCATACCAGGTGAAATTGGCTGACTTTTTTAAAATGTGTCAGTGCATATATAGATGTTTCAATATGTAGACAGTGCAACAATTCACATACTGTGTGCTTTCCCTTTCAGGTGGAAATGGTTACATTAATGATTACCCAACTGGCCGTTTCTTACGAGATGCCAAATTGTATGAAATTGGAGCTGGAACAAGTGAAGTTCGGAGAATTGTGATTGCCAGAGCTATTAATTCTTATTACAGATAGCTGTTGTAAACCTGAGACATGAATGATGTATATACTGCATATGTTCATAGTTGTTGAATCTGTGAACATTGTGAATGTGATATCCAAGAGGAAGTGAAGGGACAAAGCATTTAATTTTTATGAGAATACATAATGGTGTATTATTGTAAGTATATACTTCACATTAACTCATTAACTACCAGTTTTGAGGTAGAATTAGAGTACATTTATATTTTTAGTGGGAGGTGATTCAATAATTTTTAGCTGTTGGTTTGCTATTTTGAAAACATTTTTATAAACCCAATTGTTGTAGAGACCTTTTAAAACTGTAAAAACTTAGAAACTGCAGCTTAGAGTCTAAGTCTTTGTAAAAACTTTGGAAAACTGACACAATTATGAACAATCTAAAAATTTGCTAAAAGTGGCAGGAAAAATAAGAAAATTAAAAATCAGATAATAGTTTTAAGTGTTCCATCAGCGGTCATAAGATGTAACAAAGAATAATGCAAATGACTAGTACTTTATGATAAAGTATGAGTCTGTGGTGTAATGATTGGTCAGTTTATGAAAGATCTGACTATAGCAAAACTGTGTTGTCTGTTAAAATTACAATAAAATCATGACTCATTGCCATGAGCTATAAATAAACATCAATGTTGAAAATAGAATCAGAAAGCATCTTTGAAGAAGGTAGTTTGCCACTGCTTGTATTCAGTGGTATAAGTGATAATTTTAACTGCTTAGATCAGATCACTAGATCTTCTGCCTTTCAACTCTGATGGATCCTCAAACAGCTCATGCAAGGTCCTCTGTAGGCTTGGTCATGATTTTACAGCCAAACTTTGCTATGGGATCAGCTAAGATTTTACAACATGCATGGCAGGTTGCAGTATTACTGTTGTTTACTTAACCTCTATAAGGTCCCTAAAGGCTGTGGTATCATGTGGGCTGTCAGATTCATTAATGTATAGCACAGATTGTGATACATACAATATGAATGCAGATAATTGAAAAGTAGACAAATTATATACTCTAAACAGTATAGATGTATGACAGCTGTAGACTCATCTAAATCATTCATACATTGGATCCTTCACTAGTTGTGATGTACAGCTTAAATTGCCCTAGTATGATTGAGAGATCCAGGCACTAATGGATAGTTTCACAGTCCAGTGATGTGAGTTTGTAATGCAATTAATAACTCATATATCATGATTAAATATAACAATGGCAGATGTGTAATTTGTTGAGAAACACTTCTTGCTTTCAACAAGATGTTTATGTTATTTAGAGTAGAAAAAAAGTCCATATAATCTTATTTATGCTGTTGGGGTATCAAATGTTAGTTTTAACGTATTTTTTTATTTTTAAATCCTACGACCCATTTTTATGTGAATGTTGAATTAGGAATTGGCATCAATGCACTCAAAACATCTTTTGCAACTCCTGTCTGCTATAACACTGCTAGGTACTGTAGCTGTGCATATTATAAATAAAATGTGCAAACATGTCTGCAACGCCGACTTATTTTTGTGTGTTCCCCTACTGGGATTCTGACCTTTGCTTTGATAAGGAATCCCTGCCCATTCACACAAGCAGGTGGGGTGGTCGGTCATTTTCCACTATTGCCGCCTTCACTGTCTAAATAATTGTCCTCTACAAATGTTATGGAAAGCAATGGTGGTAGTGGCTAACATGCTTGCCTGTTTGCGTTATGGTCATGTGTTTGAACCTCTCAAGGCAAGGATTTCAAAAGAAACTAATCTGGGTTCCCATTCAATTCTAAAGGTAATGGCAGCTGAGGATATTGACATCCATTGAGTGCCATTGGTCTATAACAAAATGGGGCTAGCACCATATAAATAAACCTTAAGATGTGGAAAACATACTTTTGTTGCTTTCATTTATGTTTCCTCTTTGTTTTTTTGGGTTGCTGATTGTTAGTGACTACTAAACAGTTTGCTGGCAAGACTCATTTGGGGTTAAAGGTTGAATTTATAGAATTTATTTGTTTCTGTTGTCTAGGAAGTCCTATGATTTCTACATTTTCCTCATCCCATTTCTCATTCTGCGAAGACTCATTTATGATGTCATTATTTTCTTATGCTCAAGATTTCTCTAGTCACGTCATTTACTGGTATGTTCTAATTTACATTATTTTGCATAATTTGGATATACATTGGTACCTTGGTATACATTCACTTTGATAAATTGTCATTTTGGTATCCATCCTGTTTGGTCATGAAAACTTTTGTTTGGAATACGACTCACATGCTAGAACTTGTATGAACTTGTCAGAATCAGTCACGACACTGTGAGTTATCCTGGTTTACCTCTGTCGAGACAAAGCCATAGATAAATGTCAGTGACTTTGCAGGGAACCACCACCCCAACAGAGCCTAAACAAGCCATAAAAGCATTGTCTGGAATGACCGGACCTCACATTTCCAAAACATCCTGAGGAGAAGGTGGATGCAGAATTCTTTGTAAACATTTTTTTTGTAAATGTCAAACATGATAAGCCTCAACCAGGTAAAAGTAGGGAAAAGAGACCAAAAAATAAAAAATACACCAGAATTTCAGATTCCTGAAGTTTTATTAGAAGTAGACTCTTCTTCCAAACAAAACGTCCACTCCTCCTCCCTTCTCAGCCCCATCCTAGTAGACACTTGTCTCTGCTCAGCAAGGTAAAATGAGGTTAAATTTTCATTCATTTCATCTGATTGCTGAAGTATTTTAGCATTAGGCCGTTTACAAAATTTGTTGTAAACCCATCAGTGTATACTGTGCCAATAACAACATGATTTGTTATTTTCATTGGAATGGATTAATCATTCTCCCTTTATTTCTTGTGGGAAAATTTATGTCCTATACATCCTGTTTAGTATCCATCCAGTCATCTGGAACGGATTATGTCGATTATGTACGAATACTGAGGTACTACTGGATATTATTTCTGTTAACCCTTAACAGCCAGTGTGAAAACTCTATGGGACAATTTTAAATGTAGTTCATCAGTTTTAAACATTTTTAACTGACCTTGTATGAAGAATGATATTAAAACAGGTTGATAAAGTACCCCAAATGTTTGTAATTATTTTCTTGGCTGTATAAAGTGTGGAGTTTTAATTGGTTCATGGTGGTTGATGAGCAAAGCAAAATTGTTGCTCTTTATTTAAGTTAAATTGTGCATTTTGTGGTGGTGTTTAAAAATAATTTTTGTGTTTAATTCTTTACTAGTATTTGGTGATATTAATGTTTAAGTTTCTTTTGAAGATCTTATTTTTGTATGTGTGTTCTGGTATAATCTCAGAATGGATGAAAGCTATCATACATGATTTTGACTTTTATATAATGATTCTTTATTGCAGCAATAGTTATTCCTTATTTATACTTTTTATAGAGCATGATTTCAGTAACTGAACAGCATTTCTAGAAGCTGGTATAGTTAAAAGACTGGACTGATGAATTCAGGCAATTAGAAATGGTTTCTCAAACTGAATCCATTGTTATACTAGTTTCTTTTTTTGGTTTTAAGAGTTCGGCAAGAATAGAGTGAATAATTTCTTTAAGTATATCTGTTCACTTCTTTAATCAGGAAAGATAGCATATCTATTCAGTTCTTTAATCAGGAAAGAAAGTAGTAATTTACAACATGTATACTTTAATGGTAGCTGAGAAAATTTGGCACACAATCCCAGAAATATCTATCAGATTTGATAAAATCATTATTTTGCGATTTATGTACTTTATATCACTGAACAGTCACATCTTTCATTAAGATTTTAAAAAAATAATAATAAAAAACTCACGTTTTTGGAACCCTGGACAAGGTTAGGTATGAAATCATCGCAGTAGTTATCAAATATTCATACTAAAAACTAATTAATAGAAAAACTACCATCTGTTTATGTGCACTTCAAAAAAGAAGAGTTGGCAGGGGCAAGCAGATCATTCCCCACCGTCCAAGGAGGCTTCCATAAATACAGAGTCGACACATGATGTTCTGCTCCTGAACTCACCCAAGGAATCGTCACGTCCTGCACATGACTGCTTAACCTCACATCTGTATGTTAAGCTTCCTACTCATCATGGGCTTCACCCTCCACAGATCAGCAGGTTCAGCACTTGGACCACACAGATAGACATGCTCTTCCTCAGTATGTTGGTCACCTTTGGCATTGTTTCATCAGGACAGTAGCATGACAGTATGAACAAGCATGCGTTGGGCTTAGCTTCCACTATTTTTTCCTGACACTTTGGTGGAAAAAAAGGTAGGGGGGGGGGGGGGAATGGTAAGGGGACATTTTTGCCAAACAGTAAGACTTTTGAGGTTGGATATTTAACACTTTGATGTTATGCCATAGGACGTCTGCCTGATGGACATTTGAGCCTAATCAACTGATTGACAGTGGCACATTGTCATTGTGTACCTCAGCGTGGTGATGGTGACATTGTGGGTCGACAAAGTGTGTGCGGAGACAGAACTACAAAATGCCACCTGTAGGAGATGTTGCTCGTCTAAGCTGCAAGCAAATCTCTTGGTCTAGGGCTGAGTCTCAGTAGCTCTATAGTTCTTTCCCTCATTTTAACCATTTTTATATTTGGATAGCAGGCTTTACTCAAGTTACAGTTGAGTTTTGATAAATGTTTTCACCCTTGCATTGAGGATGCGCTGATGAGAACCAGAGGATTTCTGGGCACTGCATCTCTGAGGGTCACCAACTTTAAGATCCCCCGCCAGCTCAATTTATGCTTATTTGAACCATTATCCATGGTGCACGACAGGGACGTTTGGCAGAAGTCTTGCATGAGGAACGGTAAAACCAGCACAGAGCCAGCAGACGCCCAAGGTGAGATATGGAGTAACTCTTTACACACATAATAACGGCCCTAACTTTCCTGCACGCCTGTGACCAGTTTCACTGCATCAAACTTTTCCATTTGAAAAATAGTGAAATTGCTAAAAACAATTTACACTGAGGTTTATAAGCATGCTTTAATGCAGCGGTTCTCAACCT